AGAAAGAACACTGACTCATAAAGTTCATGACCTTTGAGCTCTTATACAGATTTAGAACAATTCTATTTTGAAATAGAACAATTGGAAGATTGTTTTGAATTCACCCAAAAGAAACAGAAGCAGTGGAAAGAGAGTAGCAATAAAAACATTGATTCCTGCTTTGAAAGGTATATATATGTTATGTATGAAAAGCTGGCATAGTATAGAATGCCTAGGAAATCTATAGAATGTGAGGCATTTGTAGGCAAAGTATGAAATGTCTGTGTAATTTTAATATACTATATACACTCCCTAGGCATTCTACATAAAACCTAGCCATTAAGCACAATGACAAGAACTATTTAGGCAAAGTATGAAAATAGAGTCATGAAAAGGGTTAGGGTTAGGGTTATTGAAAAGACATATGAAAATGAAAAGAGAAATGCAAAATAAAGTACAAGACTTTCTTACTGAAAAACAAACAAGAAAAAAAGACTAGTATTGACCTACTTGTTGCAAAAAGGAAAGTTACAATGGCATTTTAGACAAAAAGGAGAGAATCTTGAATCTATTCTACAGGGTAGAGTTATGTTACATTCAAGTAATAGGTAGAGAAGAAGCAAATGGCATTAATCATGGAGGGGACTGAAGACTTCATTGGTAAGCAAAACTCTTTCAGCTGGAGGGTCATTCCACCACTCTTCCTCATAACTAGATTGTTGGAATTCTATGAAATGAGGAACAATTTCCTTCTAGCAGCTGAGGAGGGAAGGGCAAATTCTGGTCCCAATTCACCCTACTTTTTCCACCCTCCAGGATTTTAGAACAGGATGAGAACTCTGAAATGAAACTGAGCACGTTCCACAAGTTCTTTTAGGACCAGCCCTTTTCAAATTTAGCAGGAGAACTAAGTTAATGACTAGTACTTTACCCTAGATATTCAAAGCTTGAATTAGGGAAAAAAGCAGTCCCATTCACTTTCTGCATAATAAACCTGTTATTTCCTGCTGTTCATTTATTAGTCTGGTTTACTTTTTCATTTCACTCTTACTTTCCAGTGGAACATCACTGGACTTGACAGATCTCTAGTTCAATAGACTTGAAAGCTACACTGCTGTAGCTGAAAATGGTACTTCCAGCTGAACTGATGGATAAAGGCAACATCTTTCATAGACGTATCTGGCTGCAACTTTTTTTAAACTTATTGGTGAGTAGAAAAGAATTTGGAACAGATGAAGTAGCAATAGCATTACTAATTACTCGCCAGTTTGTAATGCAACTGAAATAGGATATACTAAAATGAATATTAACTTTTGTATTCCATGGAGAATGAAGCTTATATAGATTGAGAGACAGAGAGAGAGGACATTGTCTTTGTATCAGAAGTGTCCCATTTTGTGTGTGTGTGTGTATGTTAGAGATAGATAAATAGATGATGCTTCATTTGTTATATTAAGACAAAGATGCAAATTGTGAGGTTCAATGATACATGTAGCCTCTCATAATCATTTTGTGACATCCAAAGTCTGCAATGTTTGTGGGGTCAGAATATTGGAATATTTTGTGTTTACAGAAACTTGGGAGATTTTAAAGGACAAAACAAGAGCCTTAAGCCTTGTGGATGCTTACATCTCTCAGTTCATTGCTTAAAACTCCTGCAATTTCCTCAGACGTGCCTGATCCTGGAGTTCAGTAGTGCAACCCTAGCCTACCATACAAAGCTTATGTAATTCTTGAGAAACAAAAATCATACATTTCTGCCTTTGGATAATGATCATGTAGATGACTTTTTAAAACACAGAAACAGTATATACTCTTTGGGCCAGTTCTAGCAAAGCATGGTTTTATAGAATCAAGTATCCATCAAAAATTTTAAAAATCCCTAATTTTAAACAATTCAAAGAACTTTGGGAAAAGTTGGTCCATCTATTTTTGAATTGCACTGTGAATATTATGTATTTTTTTCTATTCCATGTAACAATATAAATGAATCAGTGAAATACAATAGTAGAAAATTAAGCAAATTAAGTAATTGCTTTTGGGGGGAGGAGTTTTCAAATAAAAGCAGTTTGTTTTTATTCATCTCTCTTGTCTCTGTTTGATTTACTATATTAATTTGTTATCAGTAACTGGTTGTTGATATTCCATCCTGACTAGTTTTTAGAATTGGTATATCTTTTAAAACATGTTATGACCATAGAGACATTTTCTTTTATAGTTTTATAGCATGTTGATTTTAGGATTATTTTACAGTATTGAAATAGCTGTCAGTATTTATGCAGGATGGAAAATGCTAAAGAAATGAAAAGAATGATGAATAGAAGTGAAATTTAATCCTTTGACAATTAAAAAAAATTAGAATGTGAATAAGTCATGAAGGGAGAAAAGTCTGGCTAGATTTTGGAATAATAACGTCTTTCCCTCAAACTCACTAAACAAAAAATATTTTAAGATGTCATATGATAAAGTTACAACTCAGTAACAGTAAAATATTATAAAAAGACATGATGAATTCATTATACTTCATATTTTCAGGAAAACTTTCCAGTTAATTAGGTCAGTTTAAAGAGCAGAGTTGTCATTTCAACTGAAGCCTTCAAGGTAGGGCAAATCCTTGCATCTCAGCTAGGCTACAAGCAAAAACAAAAGTGACATTGTCACCTACTTCAACAATAAAATATTATCAATTGTTTGAGGTTTACTTTACACTTTAATTCAAGATTAATATGTTTCTGTTACCAAATGTGGCTAATTAGTGTTTCCAATATGTAAAACAGAATTACTTCTTTTGTCTTATTATTAAAATATAAGGATAATATTTGAATAATATTTTCACAATAGTATGCATTACAAACCATTTTATTGAGTTATCAAGGCTTCTTGGAACATGATAATACGGTCAATTATATTCAAAATAATCTGAATTGATTTTAGGAGCAGTAGAGAGGCAGAATCTATTTCCATAGACCAACTTCTAATGGCTCTTGGCCAAAATAGAAGGACAAAATTTAGTATGGTATAGGAAATTTAGTAAGTGAAGCTGCAGGCTCATGGCAATCTTGACAGGGGCTTTGATTCTGTAGGAAATGATCCAAAACAAAGCACAACAACTCCTTTTCTTCCTTTGTTTATTAATAAAAATAAACCAGTTTCTTAGAGGCATTAAAGCAATTTTTGCAGTATATTGTTAAGCCAGTTGGGTTTCCTTCACATCCTTGATTCTTGATTCTTTTTTAATTGATTGTCCATTAATACCAGCAAAAAAAGTTCTGGTTTCAATTGAATATTGATCTTCAAAATTCTTTTATCATTATATGTATTTGAACCCAGAAATTGTGGTGTTTTTTTAATAAGTCCAGCAAGCATGATAAAAATAAATAATTCTTCATGTCATCCACATTTCCAACATAAACTTGAAGTATCATATATTCTAGGCAATTTTTCTGTGGTCATACATCAATTTATAAAAATTATCTTTAAAATAATAATAATAATAATAATAATAATAATAATAATAATAATAATAATAATA